TACATGCTATGCAGCAGCAAACATGGGTCCAAACAATCCCATCTGCCTGCATAGGAAAAATCCCCATGAGGTTCAGTGGAGCTTCTTTCCCTACCAACTGGCTCCTAGCCAGACACATGTAGCATTAAGTCTACCATGATGCACCTGGCCAATGATAAGCCAATGCTCAACACAATCAAATTGTCTTGAACTGCCTGCCCAGGCTTTCCATGAGCCAAGAACATAAGAAGAACCTATTGGATCAGGCCAATGGCCCATCTAGTCTAGCATCCTGTTCTCACAATGGCCAACCAGATGCCTATGGGAAACCCACAAGCAGGACCCAAGCACAAGAGCACTTTCTGATTTCTAGCAACTTGTATTCAGAAGCATTACTGCCTGTGACTCTGGAGGCAAAGCATAGCCATTATGACTAGTAGCCACTGATAGCCTTAAATAAATTATTTATTATTATTATTATTATTATTATTATTATTAATGCACCACCCATCTGGCTGGGTTTCCCCAGCCACTCTGGCCAGCTTCCAACAAAAGATTAAAAATACATAGCCTTATTCTCTATGAAGTTGTCCAATCCTTATTTAAAGACATCCAAGTTGGTGGCCATCATTAAGACAGGGTCATGGGTTTGGAAGGGACCCAGGGTATTATCTGGATTCACACCCACACCCACACACCTAACTCATATTACTAGGTTTAAAAACAATACAAACATCCAAGGCAGAGAACTAAAAAATATATTCTCATATTCTATATCATCACTCAGTGACTTGCATCTGAGCACATGAACTTAGCTGTCTCCACTGCTATGTTTAGGGGGAGATGGTAGGAAAACTTTTATCTAATCTGTGGCCTCCAGATATAGTTGGACTACAGCTCTCAGCAGTCCCTAGCCATCGGTTGGGCTAGCTGAGAGTGACAGGAGGTAGAATCCAACAACATCCGGAGGACCACAGCTTAACCACCCCTGATCTGATTCAGACATGTATGCATGCATGCCATGATTTGATGTGGCAGACACAGGGAGAGGAACATGCTGTTCACTCACCCCAATTAACCAGACACTGGCTTTGTGTATGCATATCACATCTCCAGCCAGACAGAAGAATGCTCTTCATGATCAAAGGTATGCCAGAAAGGTGCCAAGAAAAATATGAAAGAATTGTGAGCAATCCACATGGGAAAATCAGAATGCAGACTCAAGACTTCTTTCTTACATTCTAGAGATTTCTGAATCTGAATTTAGGAATGGTGTGAGATGCAGCTATCTAAGCAGAAGTATCTTGATGGAGTCTGGGGTTCAAAGCCCACTATAGGAGGAGGCACCGTTGCACCTGAATTTATTCCTATAAAGGGGAAAGAAGCATTTGAAAACATGCCAGGACTAGTAATGACATCCCTTGAAGGAGCTACTACTGATTTCATGTTAAAATATTTCTACTACAAGCACCAGTATACATGGGGCAAATGCACTTGCTGCATAAAGTAATAAGTAGCCTTCAGATCAACTAATCCTGTTTATAGTGCAGACCTGTCAGCTAAGACTCTGAGTTCCTCCTATCAGATGCATGAAGTGCACTGGGGAAATGGTGAGTATATTATATGCATGTGCATATTATGTGCATACAATAAAGGATCAACTAGCCCTTTGCAAAGAAGGGAAATGAGCAAGATTTAAAAGGATGGGTGAAATGAATAAAAATATGAAGTTTGGGGAATCCAGAGAATCCCCCCCCCAAAGCAAAGCAATTTAGGTGTCAGGAGGATCAGAAGCTGCATTAGTCTTTCCAGGAGAACTATTTTTCCAGAGTTCCCTGGCCCAGCTCATTTATCTGTGAGCCGTGAGAACATACAAAAATGTCAAAGTGCTGTAATCCATTTGTACCTAACATGTTTTACACAGTTAGCCTAAAATGGCCTGCCACTATCTGACTCCTCCATTCAGCCCTTGGAAGTTGAACGTAAATTAAGTAAGTAGCAGCTTTGAAGTTGTTCCATGCAGAGGCGTCTCAACAGAACAAGGTGTTCCTGTCATAGGGAAGAAAGCATTGTGCAAAAGAGAATGAAAAGCATGAAAGAGGAGGAACATTCAGGGGCCAAATCACTGAGCAATCACTGCCACACACAGTCCATGCTCAATTATATGGAAGCTAGAAAGGATCGGGAAGCCTCGTGTGAGTATAACTGGAAATAGGACTGCTAAGATATTTGGGGCAGTAGGGTCCCCCTTTATATCATCCAAAAAGAAGACCATGACATCCAACAAGAGTCCCTATTCTTTTATTTTAATTTTTTTTAAATGATGTTTATTGAGAATTTTAAAATTAAAAAAAAAAACCAAAGAGAAAAAGAAGGAAAAAACAAGAAAGAAACAAATAGCAATTAAACAATACAAATCGATAAAAGTCAAAAGCAAAAAGCAAAAACAAAACACATAGCACATCAAAATCAGAAAGCAAAAATAAACCACAAAGATTTAAAAACAGATCCAATATTCCCAAATCCTTAACTGTCATTACCTTATTTCATCGACCTCCTCACACCTCCCTTTTTTGTATTCTAGTTGTTGATTGTCACAGCAAATCCTTTCCATTTTTCATAATATTCTGTCATTAAATTACCTTAATCTATTTTAACCTTATCTTACCATAAACTTACTTAAACTTACTTAAAACTTATTTATACCAATTTCTCATAACCATAGCATATTCTTACATAGTTCTTTTTAACATTTCTGCTAAAGCCAAATAATTTCGTTCCAACATTTTTCTAATACTCATTAATTTTAGAAAACATTCCTAAGTAGAATTTTTAAAACTTTCTTCCAATCTTCATCCAACGTCTCTTCCTCCTGGTCTCGGGTTTTGTCAGTCCTTTCTATCCCATCCATCTAGTTCATTAACCTGGTAACCTTATGTCCGAGGCCCTTAAGTCTCTTCCATGTCCCTTCCGCAGATCTTCTTCATATTTATACCTGTACTTTACTTTGTCTTCTGCTCCTTTCACTCGTGGAGACTCCAGCTTGACAATATTTTTGTCCCTTCTCGACAGATCAGCCCCTTTTCCATAGTCCACACTGAACTCCATGTGGTATTTAAAAGCACGTTTCAAGGTCCCTCCAAAGTTGAGGACCCCCACAACTCCAAACTCCTCCCGGCCCAACACCAGACTTGAAAAGTCAAAACATCCCTGCATAGGGGGGTCTATCCAGCCCCCCATCTCCAAGCCAAACAAGACTCTATCTCTCCAAATCTGGCTTTTTCCAGGTTCATTCGTCAGATCCAACAACTCATGTTCCTGCTGGGCCACAGTTCCCTCCATCTCTGCTTCCCAGGGTCCAGCCACAACCTCCTCCCTCATCTGATCTGTCAGAGCACACTCCTGAATTGATTCCTGAGTGGGTTCTATATAGATACCCACTACCTGTCCAAAAGTTCTGATCGCAACAGTCATCAAATCCGTCTTCTCATGTAACTGTTCCAATAAAGCACTTGTCTTGCAGAAAGCACGCACCAGAGCCTCCGAGTACATTGTTATGCAAGGTCAAAGTCTGATCCCACGATCTTAATCTATTGCAGCTGCAAAGCTCCCCAGTTCAGATTTAATAACAGTTTCACAAGCTCCCTCTAGGGGAAGAACTTCTATTTGTATCCATCTCTCTCTTTTTTTTTTTTAAAGCAGATCTAACAACAAAGTTTCCTTTTTCAGATATTTTGTCAATATTTTGTTCCTTTTAACTGCGAAGGAGAACAATGGAATCACTATGTTTCTCTTCTTTTAACTGTCTGTCAAAAACGTTTGTCTATAGTCAATGAACTCCAAAACGTCTGTCCTGACACCCCGCTCCCAGGTTCAAGACGGTGGAAAATTGCTTTTCTTTACACACTCTTCTGCAGGTTTAAACAGTCCAAAAAAATCCCCCTCTTCTCCTGCTTCCAAAGGGGTTCAGTAATTTTAGATGATGAAAGTTGATCCTTTACAAACGGTTTTCTAAACTCTAGCTTGCCATGTCTTTGCTTTAATCTTTCTACAAAAAGCGGAAGGCTGACTTCCTGTTTAGACCTTCCCGCTTCAGTGCCAAATTAAAAGGAATTTCTTAGTCCAATTTTCCATTCTACTCACGGGTCGTTGTTTAGAGTCCAATTGTCCAAATTTAACCTACTCGCGGGTAGCTGTTTTTGTAGCCAGATTGTCACAGGAAAAAGGTAGCGCTCTCTGGTAACGGCTGTGCGGCTTCGCTCCACGGAAGAAGCAGTTGACTCTCAACACCGCGCCGCTTGCCCCGCTTCGCTCCGGAGCTCGTAATTGGGTTCCTTTACAAATTGGGGGGGGCGTGAAAGGTGCCCGCCGAGTCCCACGGTCACAGGCTTCACCCGCCTGTGATTTTTTAAAGGGTCCCCGCTTCGCCGTAGCGGAACAGACCCGATTTCCGTAGAGCCAGTCCCTCCGGATCAGAGGGAGTCCGCCATTACCGATGGCGCCACCCCGGAAGTCCCCCTATTCTTTTAAACCAATACCAATAAACATGTGGCTCCAACCATTCACACCAGAGGATATTAGATGACAAACATACCACAGTGTTCGTGAATGAGATCTTTTGTAGCATTCTGTGTATTCCATTTCATCATTAGTACTCTCCGATGCTTCTAAAAGCTAGCGTTTTGAAATAGTTTATCTAAATCTTTTGTTGCTTCGTTGGCCTTGGAACTGAATGAGTACAATATCATGTTTTGTTTCTCAATCATGAGTCCATGAATAGAAGCAGAAGGACTGAACTTCATACAACACTGTGGCAATAGGCAGATGTTGTACCATGCTACCAATTAGCTATAAATGCTGTTCACATCACCTTATTCCCCTTATACCATCCACTAGCCCTGGACCTTGACTTTCAATCATTCATTGGAAGGCTGGAAAACAGCCTGCATACATATGTATGCACAATTAAATGTGTGGGCTGAGTTCTGATTCCAGAATGAGGCTGGTCATTGAAGCCAGCCGTTCATATTCTGCTTCTTTGACCAATGTGTTCATCTCCACAGATAGCATGAAGGGCTATAAGGAACCAAGTTACAGGTGCCATCTGCACCACCCAAAACCTCACTTCAAATCTTGCTGCCACATGCTGACAACTACTAACAACCACAGGTGAGAGCTGAGTGCAGGATGGGGGCACCAAGTACTCCAGAAGGAGCACATGTCCTCCATGAGAGGGACTACGCCTCTCCTAACACCCCATCCCTATACATCACTGGCTTATAGAGTAATCCTAATTATGTCTGCTTAGAATTTAGTCCTGTTAAATTCAGTGGGGCTTACCTCCATGTAAGTGGGGCTCAGACTTCCAACTGTAGCAAGGGGGTGAAACCTAAATTGGAGCTGTGATGCTCATTGCTGGAATGCATTGCTATCAAGAATGTTTCATCAGAGTGCAGTAAACTATCCTGACTGCCTCCTCCTTTCAAGTCAAAATATACCTAGAATAAATGACCTGCATGACAGTGAAAGCTGAAAGCTGGGCAAGACAGTGATGCTGAAAAGCATTGCCAGAAACAGTAATGTTTAGTTAGAGTGCAGATGCAATCAAACGATGTGATGGAAATACTGAAAAAGATGAAGAAACGAAAGAAGTTAATTTTGTGGAAAGGTGTATTATTTTTTTCTTGACTGTTCTCTTTCCTTTGATTGTTCGTTTTCTTTTGGAATTCAAGAAAGCATTAAAAAAGAAAAAGAAGAAACAACATGTTTCTTCCTTATTTCTGCTGAAAACAGAAACATGGGCTTTTCAAAATGAGAAACATGACACTAAATCCGACAAACAAAGGAGCAGGATGCATGGTCCTGTTAGAATGGAATGTGAGATCAGTTGACAGCCAGCTGTGGCATGGGACCACAGAGAGCTACAATGCACAAGCCATGTACAACAGGGATGTGGAAACGGTGCATAAAGTAGCTAGGTATTACAGACCCAGACTCCTAGTGTACAATATACCACCTTGTGGCCATTACTGTGATAGTTCCATCAGAATAAAGAGGACATGGTTGCTTTATAACCAATGACAATAAGGTAAGCTACTATTATGGGGTGGCACTAACTGTGTTTTGCCTGCAGATATCTGCACTTTTCCATATTATCCCACTGTCTCTTCTTCCAGGGCAGAGGAGACTCCCAAGGCTAGCAAAGGATATCAGGTACTCCTCCCGAAATATTTCCTGGTACCCTTGCAGCTGCCCCATACATCTGCACAGAAAAATAGCAGAACTATATGAATCAGAGTGTTGTGCATAAAGCCGAACCTTTTTTAAAAAAAAACCAACCCCAAAGCAAACCTGGTGGAACTCTTATAAGAGGAAACAGATGAGAATGACACATTTATTGAATACAATTCATGAAAATAACTCTTATACACAGAGACAATCTAAAAGATCAGAGTGGTGAGAAGGGGGGAGGAGGAAGGTGTGGAGCTGTGGCAACACATGTGTCATGCTCCAAGAGGATGCAGAGGTCAGGCTGCTCATGTTATCCAGAGCATGCTTTCTTTTCTGCCCAGGCTGTTGTATTCCCCACCCCACCCCCGCAGCTATCTACATCAATTGCTTAAGCCTCCTCCTTTCAAGTTCTTTGTTATTGTGACTACAGGAGAAAGAGATGCCAGTTCTGCAACACTGCCAATGGAATATGTGCTGATCTCAGGGTGCTCTTCTGGTCTGAGGTCATACTTACAGGCAGTGGCGTCTTTAGCATATGCGCCGTCGGGGTGCAAAGATCCACCCAACACCCCCAAATTTAGTTTAGCCACCCTTTGGGGGAAAGCCAAAGTTGTTGACAAAAACATACCTTATTAAAATGAGCAAGAGCAAATTACTTTCTTTCAATCACAATAAAGTCATGCATGGTTTTAAACGATTTTAGATCCTGCAGTTGATTTTCAGTGCATCCCTTCCTTTCCTCCACGGCTGGCTCTGGGGCTAGCTAGCAGGACACAAGAAGCTCTGTGGCAGAACTGGTTACAGTGAAAATATGGAAGGCGAGAGAGGGTGGTGGCATGCCTGCTCCTTGATCGCCATGTGTTCATCAGCTCTTCTATACAGAACCTAAATGTGTATAACTTCTACATATGTAGGTTCAGTGAAGAAGAATGAATGACTACGTGAAGAACAAGAAGTGAGTAAGCAGCCTTATGGCAAGTCAGGCTATTAAGTCCATCTAGTGCTGTATTATCTAAACTGACTGTCAGCAGTTCTTCCAGGTTTTAGAAAGGGGCATTTTTTCAAGGGCAGTGATTTGGATTGCACCACACGCATTGTGAAAAGAATTTATGGCCTATTGTAAATATTATTCATAAAATAATCCTCTCTCACTAACTTGAAGTCTCTGCAAGTATTTAAATATTAAAAGTGCATTTTCAATGAAGATTAGTTACACATTTATTAAACTATCCCTACACCCTTCTAGCTCAGAGAAGGCTTTTTTTTTACCTTTCTGGCTTCTTTCGATATTTACAAAATCAGAGTTTAGTACCTAAATATATTTGACATGCTGTCCTTTTAAATTATAATAATACTTTGTCTCCTCTCAAGTTCTCTAGGATGGTTGTTCCAGATATTTAATTTTTTTCTGCCACAAACCTTGACACGTTCTGCCCTTATATGGTAGGGAATATAATAAAGATGAAGAGTGAATTGAATTATTTATTTCACTTGCCTTAGCTGCCCTACCTCAGTCATTTGGTCAATTTTTTAAAAGCTCTCAAGCTGATGATATTTCTGCACTCTTTCACCTCTGTCCTATTCCAGGCGGCTTCAAGAAATTACAGCAGGAGAAGCCAGCATGGTGCCCCCATGCTTTGCTGTTGTGGGAATTATAGTCCAGCAATGTCTGGGAGGTTCCACATTGGCTACCCCTGAATTACGGAGCTGAGTGCTAGCAGCAAACACAACTGCCCTACAGTGTATGAATGAACAGAGCAGCTCTCCATTGACTTCAGTGGCATAATAGTATCCCCAGTCACTTCAAGGGGAAAGAGTTGCACCATGCTGTAGAAAAACCAGACTAAACACATCCCTCATCTTCTGTAAGGAAAAGTGTCATGTAAAAAATGTTAAAACATTTATTTATACTTCTACATTTCATTCTTCCTTTTATGTGCACATTATGATATATATATATATGATATAAATTTCCACTGCCAATAAAAGAGTTACCGGTATATTTATTGCAGGTTTTTATTGCTTTATTCTCTTGAACATGCTTTTATATTATGTGAGTTAGTTTTCCTTAAGTGCTTGGTTTGTATTAAGCCAGCTTTTCCATGGGTTTTTATAACTACTTGAAACAAACTTGAAACATGTAAATTAAATACAATTCAAATACATTTTCTCTATATTATTATACCAGGGTTCTATTTTCCAGCATTTTCCATGGTTTTTCCGTAACAGCTAGAGTCCTTTACATGTTTACTCAGAAGTAAATACTACTGAATTAGTGATACTTACTTCCAGCTAATGGTAGATGAATATCAGACCTTTTTTGTGTGTATGGTGGGATTAACCTCTGAAGGTCACCAATGGCATGGTAGTGGATACAAAGCTAATTAATTTATCTTTGTAGTAAGACAGGGAAAGAATACATTTTCATCTGTGTATATCTGCTGCTACTAAGCATTTTTTCTTGTCCTTTCTGTGGTACAGATTTAGAAGCATCTTTCCTGCAAGCTGGTTCCCTCAAGATTTTGTTGGACTTCCACTAGCCCCAACCAGCATGGCCAATGGTCAGGGTTGATCAGAGTTGTCATCCAAAATATCTGGAAGACACAAGGCTGGGGTAGATCAATGTACACTGTTGAATGTACATGGACTGCAGCAGTGAACTGATGGGGGGAAAGAGGCAACTAAATTAATGGTTTGCAATTAGTTTACTTCCAACACTTTCACAGTCCTTATCCTATGAAACACTGTGCCATTCAGAAATGCTTCTTGTAAGAGCATTTGAGGTGCATTAAAAAGTGTATTGACCTGAAATGTTTGTTTATGGTATTATCACCACCAAGCAAGAGTTTCAGTAAGAAAAATTGATAGCATATTTCATATGTCAGTTGGGCTGTGTCTGTGCATTACCAGCCTCCTCAAACCTTTGTGTCATCTTTGATGCATGGAATTCTACCTTGAGATAAAACAAGACAGCTAAATATGTCCTAATTTCAAATAATGTAAAAGAAGAAGAAGAAGATAGAAATGGCAAAAAAATGCATAATAAGAGCGCTTGCAAAAAGGTAGGAACCCAGAGGACTCTTTAATGCACTGTAAACTACTTGACCAACCTGGTGCCCTTTAGATGTTTGGGGCTGCAACTCTTATGAGACTGAACCCAACATTCAGTAAGAAGGTGCTGAAATTAAATGTTCCACTTTTGTGGTCCTGAGAAACTAAGGAGTTAAAATATGACAGGAAATGTGGTCCTTATAGAAAGAAGGGAAGAATATTGATGATCTTTTTGTGGTGGAGGGAATCCATATTTCCCATGAATCCTCTGATGGTGAGAAAGAGATAAAAATCATAAAAAAGAATGCTAAATAAAGCACTCTTGGTTCATTCAGGCCATCCTATGACATTTAAAAAATCCTCACTGACATGTTAAGAGCTTTGTGGACTACCACTGAAGCAATGAATAATTACATAAGTGTCAAGTGCTCTCCAGCATTCTTGAGAATTTAAGGGCATTTAGTGACAAAGATTAGAAATGAATGAAATGTGCTGTCACACTTTCACAGTGGCTGCTTTATGTATAGCAAGGATTTCAGTTCATAAGAAAATAACAGCCCTGTTGGATCAAACCAAAGGCTCTGCAACCTTTCTCACAGTCACCTACCAAATGTGTATGGGAGGTCCACAAGAAGGACATTAATATAACTGCCCTCTCTCTCTCGTGATTCTCAACAATTGCTAGGCAGAGGCTTGCTGCCTTTGATCCTAGAGGTTATATATAGCATGACTAGCAGCCACTGACACCTTCCATGAATTTATCTAATACCCTTTTAAAAGCCATCTAAATTAGTAGCCATCAATACATCCTCCAGTAGCAAATTTCATAGTTTTACTTTACATTATGTGAATAAATTGTTCAATTTATAGTTTCATTGGACAACTCTGGGTTATCCAGAGCTGTGCCTAGGAATTCTAAGGAACAAAAAAAAATCAGTTCAGTTTTAAAAGTGTGACCTTGATTCAAATTTGTTTCCAATTGTATCCAAACATGTATGAAATCCTGCAATCGTCATGCAAAATTTGGTCAGCAATCGTCATGCAAAATTTGGTTACTATGTATTAAAAGGTGTCCAAATGCATAAAGAACAGACAAGCAACTTCCTCAACTTTCTGGTAGACTAGCAGAAAGTAACTAGCATTGCTCAAGAATTCTAAGACCCATAAAATACAGAGATTTATAAATGTAATTTGTTAGTTTCCTGCCAAATTTGGTTAAAATCAGTGCAGCTTTGAAATGTTGAATCCACGATTTTGATTCAAAATGTTATCCAATGGTATCCGAACTCAAAATCTGGTTACTGCCCTGCTTCAGAGAAAACAAACTCCAGCAGTCCCAGCCTTCTCATGGGGGCAATCCAAAATAGTAATTAAAAAAAAAAAAAGAATAAGTCTGGTCACAGTCAAAAGTGAAAACACAGGGAATTTCCATTACCAGCTAGGTCTCAGGGAACTGTTGTGCTAGATTGGGTGATGATATCTCCAGAGGCAGATGGATTGGTTCAGCTTGGAATGTTTCTGTCCACGATCTTGAGTCAATTTAGCATTCAACAGTATCCAAACATAGGCAAAAAACAACTCCTCCGCCTTGGGAACCATCATGGCAATTTGGACAGTATCTCAAGATGCATAGAGAGCAGAAAGACAGACAAACCACTTTCCAAAGCATGTAGTAGGTGTTTATGCTTATGTTGGCTCTCATGCATGGTTATATGCCTTAAGAGGGGTGTTCTCCATTAGGGTCAAGGCTCTCCCTTGGGGCCAAAGTCCTATATCAGCAGGGGACTCAAGAGATGAACCTCCCCTTCTGTTTGTTCTGCCTTCACAGTGAGAATTGAATTCCTTGCCCCTTGTTTCCTTGTAATTAAGGGGAAGCATGATATGTACTTACCTGCTACATGCCTAATTTGGCTTTCAGGTTTTTGTGCTCAATTTTTGAATCTCCTGCAATCTTTTGTACTTCCTGGCAAAAGCAGCCTCTGAACAGAAAGCAAAATAAAACAGCTCTTTCACAAAGGCAAAAGTTTCAATACATTTTTTTTAATCGCTTCCTTAAGAATTTTGCCAATGATCATTTATGCCAGCCACAATAAAGCTATCATAAAACCTTATTGATATTTGAGCCCACAATGTTTATACTTTAAGGTCTGAGGCATAAACACTGTGGGCTGAAACATCAATCTGCCAGATGCGTTTCAACCACTCTGATCTTCTTCAGCAAAATGTTTCCTATTGATTGTTCAGTGGTTAAGGTTTTGTTTTTTCTCTTTCTTGTCATTGAATGCTATATTTCATTTCAGGACATGTTTTGGACTCCAGGCGATGCCCCAATTAAAGAACAGCAATGTAGATGGGAGGGCATGGACCTACTAACCCTCTTAAACTTATGCATGTGTTGTTAAACATTGCTAGGTCTGCACTGAGGTTGAGCTTCATCAACATGTGACCCTGAAATTCTGGATCCCTCCCAAACAGATGCCAAAGTTTTCTGATAGTTTTGTGCCATTTTGTGATGTGAACCCCACATTTTGTGCCACCCCCCCAAACTGAATAATGGATACTCAAACCGGGGTAACAAGGAAAGGGCCCAAAACCCAACCATGTCCTATTGACTCCAAACCAGTGCCCAAGTGGTGTGCTGGTTTTGTGTCATTTTGTGCTGCAAACCCCACTTTCTTCACAGCCCCCCAAACATGAGTGTTATGAACACATCTGCCCCAAGCAGAGAAACACAGCATGAGTTAGGAAGTAGTCAGACAGCTGGGAGCAGTCCCCCTCCCCCTCCCTCTGACATGGAATGGAATGTAGATAAGGCATTAGCAGAGAGTGGGAGGGAGAGAAGTCAGCTTGCTCAATATGCACAGGCAGCTTCGGAAAGCAGGAGGGGTAGCATTTCCTCACTGGAAGAGGGAGCAATTAATCATCTGAGCACAAAGGGTAGGTGTATGGGAAAGGTATTAGACAGGAAACAAACCCAGAAACGTAAGGGTCATAGGTTCAGGATATTCTACAGAACCAAGAAGCACGCCTCAGAAGGGTCAACTGACTCATAAGCCACGGACACTTGGTTAGATGTCCGAGGCTAATTGTTTGTATTGCAATAAATCTCTTCAAGCTAATTAAAACTTGTGTGCTGTGTTATCAAGATGGCACCCTGGGCTCCTGACACTGAGCAACTGATGATCAAACCAGGATCACAAGTAAATGGCCAAAGATCCAGCCTTGTCCAATTGGCTCCAAACCAGTGCCAGCTATCTAGCAATCTAGATAGATAGATGATAGATAGATGATAGCTACACAAACAGGTGGTGCTCGTGAACAAGGCACAGAGTCACGCAACAGGGATTTCTGTGGGGGACCTGGTTTGCGTCTCCCCAGATTGTTCACCCAGGGCAACACCTCCTAGGCTCCCCACACTACCTCACTGTATCTAGCTGTCTCATCTAGCTATCCTATGTCATTTAGAGCTTTGTAGGTTAAAAATGGAAGGACCGTAGCTCAATGGTAGAGTGTTTGCCTTGAATGCAGAAGGTCTGTGGTTTAGTTCCCAGGATTCCCAGATACAGATGAGAGACACCCCTGCCTGAAATATCAGAGAGTCACAGCCAGTCAGTGTAAACAATAGTGTGCTACACAGGAACCAGTGGACTGAATAAGTATGAGGCATCTTCCTGTGTTTCTAAGCAGCACTTTAAACTGGGCTCAGAAACAGACTCGGTACTGATGCAGGTGGTAATACAAGAGTATAATGTAGTCTAACTGTCCAGTTATTATCTTTCTTTTTATTCCCTTACCCCTTTCCCTGTTGTTTTTTCATTATTTATTTCGTGTTACTTTCTACAGCACTATTGCTTTGATGTGCTTTAGCAGTAGTCAAAGAAGAAGAAGCAGTAAGAGAAGGGGTCAGCAAACTTTTTCAGCAGGGGGCCGGTCCACTGTCCCTCAGACATTGTGGGGGGCTGGACTATATTTTCAAGACAAAAAAAGAATGAATTCCTATGCCCCACAAATAACCCAGACATCCATTTTAAATAAAAGGACACATTCTACTCATGTAAAAACATGCTGATTCCCGGACCATCCACAGGCCGGATTTAGAAGGCGATTGGGCCGGATCTGGCCCCTGGGCCTTAGTTTGCCTTCCCATGAGTGACAGCCAGTTCTGGAATTTTGGATAGCCCAATTTCTTGTTTTCTTGAATGGAAGGGATGCAAGTTAACTAAAACTATTTCTTGCCACTTCTTTCCATGGATTCAAGAAAGAGTTAGAAATAATAACCTGATGTCTCTATTGAAGTGAATGGGAAGCCCTAGTGGTGTAGGTGGTTTGATGCGAAATTTTATGGGATCAGCATATACATGCAAGGCCAGCTGATGTTTTTCCACTTGAGGCAAAACAGAAAATGCCCCTGAGGTGATTGGAGGTGTGTTGTGGAAGCCCCAATGCAATGAAGATGGCACAGGAGAAAAAAACAAGACCAGAGAGGAGCAGTAGGGTTTGTGTGGAGGATGCAAGGAGTGTGCTTCTCTGGGGGTCAGATCTGCCCCCCCAGCTGCCCCAGTCTGCCACCTGAGGTGACTGCCTCACCGAGCCTCATGGGCAAGTCAGCCATGTATACATGTATAGATAAATATTGCAGAGATTTTTATTTTGCACTTAGCTTTTACTTCCTGGGAAACAATGTAAGTCTCAAACTTCATAGCAAGAAGATTTATGGTGTAATTACTTTAGTATACTGTTGTACAATTTGTAACTTAATGGAAAAGAAATTTACTGGCTCTATTTCAGCTGTCAGAAGTGTCCCTCTGGAGAATATGACAAAAATGGAAGGAATAAGTGCTTCTTTAAACGAGTGGGAATGTTTGAATTCAAGGCACTGACTAACCTAGCCAAATATTTTGAAATCAGCTCAGTTGCTTCTATTGTAATGAAGCAGAAATTAATTAGGCTTCAAGGCAAGGCATAGAAGACCCTGATCTTTTCAAACAAATGATTGCTCCAATCTTTTCAGACATGTGATTTGCATCTTGTCAGTCAGCTTCTTCTATTGTAATTGCTTTGAATGCCAGTCTCTTCCAGCACACACCCAGTTTTCTGACAAATTGAGGGAAAACAAATTAATAAGCAATCATATGATTTCCAGAACTGAAAAAACAAGAATTTGTAAACAGGAGTATGTGAATTGGAATTTATTTTTGTGGTTTACTGCTGTAGACCATGGCGTAAGTGAGACAGTTAACATTAATTTTAAGACAAGAGACCCTCCTGAACCCTGATACCAGCCTGCTCTAAAAACTATCTTAAAAGCATTCATGTCCAAACTTTTTTCAAAGAGGACCAGATTTGATGAAGTGAACATGCGTGAGGAGACTGTGGTCAAACTTCAAAGAAACAAGCTCTCCGTTATTATTGGCATCTCCTTTCCTGGGCTCCTGAGACTCTACAGCAGCCTTTGTCATGGAGACTACAACATGCAGCAGAAGCAGATAGCATGAGAGCTGAGAGGCCTGAATTGATGAAGTGAACATGCGCGAGGCCCAACCATTTTGCCTGACATTCTTAGAATCATTAAAATTAAATGCAATTTTATGCAACAATTTTATGCAAAGTTTATTGCAAATGGCATACTTTTTATTTTGTCACATGGATGACAAATCTTTACAGGTGTTAAATCACTCTGCCTTTCATATCTGAAGGCCAGATGAAAAATAAATCCAGAAAGCTGAAATATATGTCAGGAACATTGTAAAGTACATTCCACAGTAATAAAGGTTGTCTGTCAACTTCTAAGTTCACAACATATGAACAGGAACATAACACCAGGTATACTTGTTGTGTCCAAATATATTTATACCTGATTTAGACCAACTGACATTAACTGAGATTTTACAATGTACCGTATTCATCTCATTTTTTAAAAAAAATGCCTGCACTAATGCGAAGAGTGAAACTGAGATCTTCTGGACTGCATCTGAGGGATCCCCCCCCCCTCCTGCTTGCACACAAGTAGGAATGGGATTGGGGATGCTCCGATGGGAAGGGAGGCACCACAGGCACCGAGTCGTCCTGTTATATACCTGCTGGGATTGACAAGGCATCTGACCCTCACCTGAATCTCATAGCTCTCCTGACAAGTGCTTTGTTCTGCCCACCAGATACCAGGCACTCTACTATTCAAATTAGGTCCCAGTGTTTTTGTTACAATCCCCTTCTCAATTAAATAATCAATTTTAATCTAGAATTTAAATTCTCAAAACTTTCTTATTTGTTCATTCGAGCAAGTAAACTACTGCTCTCACTTCATTACAAACAGTATTTCTACCTACAACACACTTGAGCAAACCTGCTCCTCTTCCTTTCACAGATATTTTGTTGCCATTTGCAACTGTAGCTGCCTCTGATTAGTTATCATTTAACTCTTTGGGGAAATAATTAGCATCACACGTCATGTGCATGGAAGTTGCCGAACTAATTAACCAACTAGAATGATTACTGTTAATAGCACCAGTTTTCCTATGACTTGATATTGCTGGATAGTTTTGATGAACTGCAAAAGCATTTTTAGTTTGCTCTCTGTTGCCACCCTGGAACTTTTCTTTATTAGTGCCACTTTGTTTTGTATGATTCCTTGCAAATGAAGGAAAACAACTTTTCTGCTTGTATATGTTGATAAAATAATTTTGGTTACTGAAGACAAACAAGATTGTACAAAAACAAGATTGGGTGCAGGCCTGGCCAGGACATAGGTGTCCTGACTGTGACCAAGGTGACCTGTGTGTGTGCTTGCTTGCTTGCTTGCTTGCTTGCTTAACAGCTGTTGGGAACTTCAAGGTCCCTGCTCTCCCTTCTTATGGTCTTTGTACTGGACCTGGAGACTCCAACAGAGAGCATTCCATGCCAAGAAGGAGGGCACCCTATCAAATGACAGGGCAGGACCTACATGAAGCAGGGCCTTTTCACTGGTGGTACCCATTGTATGCCTTGATCTTCCCAGACCTGCTCTCTTTTGGTCTGTATTTTGGAGCTTTATAATTTAGGAAGACTTTAGAAGAACTGGTTGACAAGTCTTATCAGTTAATGGCATATAAGCATTTTTTATTTGCTGCTATTCTGGGCTTCTGGTGCACCAGGGTTTACACCAGCATAATAGAGTTGGCCAGGTTGAAAACCACTGCCCTAGAGAAATGCCACACACACACAAAGAAAATATCTCTGTTCACAAGTATGGTGGAAATTTTTAAGAAGCCATTTTTGCACAGCTAAAGGACCCACCTTTTGGAAATGCATGAGTGGCACAGCAAATCATGTATGGTGAGACAAAAGGTAGAGCAATGCACACAATAAACCAAGCAAATGCCTATTTTATGATGAGCCAAACTACAACATAGAGTGAATCAAACCAGATCTAACCAAATGGAAAGGGCTACAAAGTATTTCTGTGAACAATTGTTTTCAACATGAAAATTCAACTGAAAGAAAAGCCCAGCGAGGGGGCCACTAGGGGCGCATTGGAAGATGGCCGACAATAACATCTCTCCGACCCACACGAGGTAATTAAGAGGCTGTAATGGGAGTATGCAGCCTCCCTGCCCCCCCAAGGGAATGGGGGGGACTGCCTTTGCCTGCTGTGCCCATAAATCACCCCCGGATTCGAGGGGGTGTGGGCACTAGGCTGAACGCCCTTGTGTGGACTTCGGCTCTCCTGGACGCTGTCTCTGATCGCGCCACTAGCTGCAGCAACTTGAAAATAAACAATTAGGAAGAAGCAAATCCACATATTTCAAGTGAGGAATGGGGAGTAAAGACTGCTAATTGAAGGGACCTCTACGAAAGAAGACGGGTCGGATAAACAGGGATATATCATGAGAAGACACATCAAGGCTCGGTATGTCGGCAGCGGGATTGGATGGGGGAGGGGGGAAAACTTTTCTTTCTTTCTTCTATGTGATTAACCAATAATCCCTCCCCACAAGTCTGAAATGCCGATCAAATGACCTAAACTGGATGATTTAAGACTGTGTGAAAACAAACTCTAATCTAACTAAAAGCATGTTTTAAGGAGACCGAGGAAAGTACAAGAGCTTTGGGATGACGCAGCAAAAAACAGCGTCGCCATTTTGGCAAGTTCTGTCGAAAGATTTATGTCTGGGAGGAGGAACGGGTCTGTTTTTATACTGCGGGCGAACCTCCTCAGAGGACTAATGAAGGCGACAGAATTGCGAAGATTAATGATGGAAAGAGTGCTTTTATCTATGGAAGTGATGATATATGGAAACCATTTCGATATGGCTATTGGACGAATGGAAAAACTCACACAGGATTACAACTTGGTTTTTTTAAAAAAAATGATGTTTATTGAGAATTTTAAGGTTACAAAGAAATAAGAAGGAAAAAACAAGAGAAAGAAAAAGGAAAGAAAAAAGTAGATAAAAGTAACAATTAAACAATACAAATCAGTAAAAACCAAAGTCAAAAAGAAAAGACAAAACACACAATACATCAAAATCAAAAAGCAAAAATAAACAAAAAATTTAAAAACAAATCCAATATTCCCAAATCCTTAAC